CAACATAAAGTGCTTTAACTGAACACTGACAAGATATTAAAAGTACAGCATTTAAAAACTGGTCATTTACACTAGGTTATAGATTATTTGTCCACCAGTTCAAACTCACATGTGAAAGCTCCATACTAAAAACCTCACAGTATTGGCTAGTAGTCCATGAAGTATGCATTAGCAATTTAATGAATATCATTCGTTATTTATTAAATATTGTTCATTACATTGCTAATTAATTGTAAATGCATAACATTCACAATGAAAGAAAACATCTACCTATTGTCATTGTTTTTAACCTGTGATCTTTGTATTAGTATGAAAACTATAAAATATGTTTTTTTTAAACCTTGCAGATAAATTTAGTTACTTAATAGGACCAGTACAGGGTAAAGATAAAGGATTAGGCTATTTCTATCTGTACTTATAAATACTTGTTAAAAATTGACTTCAGTAACTAGCCCTACCATTCTGGTTTAAGCTTTGTTAGCCACCCAAGTCTCCCTGGTACACTTAGAACTGATCCTGACCTTAATAATTTATACATTTGCCCTTTTTAAAGTATTGTGTCTGTGCTGGCATTTGTGTGAAGGGGCAGGCACATTAGAAAGAACTTGAAACTTTAAAATTTCCTAGAAATTTAGGAATCTCCATGGTTCAGTGTAAATTATTGTTCTTTCATCTGAGATGTTCTTGCCCATGCATTTTGAGTGTTGAAATATTCTTCAGTAATACATACAAAAAGAGGAACAGTTGTGACAATAGATGCTCTTTCTTTTTATTATGCCCACTTAGCAGAATGTAAAGCTGTCTGCCATCTTTATGTCAATTTTCTAATATTTATTTATTTATTTTTAAAATCACTGTGATTCTTGAAGTACAGCCCTGGAACCACTGCCTTAAATACTCCAGGCTCTGTAGGAGGGAGGCAACAAGCTCTCAATAACACAGTACACTGTTTGGGAGAGGAAGGGAAGGGCTATCTTGAGTTCTCTGAAAACTCCTCATCTACCCTGAATATTAAGCATAACGAGCCTCACTTATCTGAGAAGCAGGGGAAAACTAGAGGTGGTGCAGAGTTCATACTGTGGGATATTATACTAGCCGTTATTCTTAGTGAACTGAGAGGGCTATCATCAGTTTACAAATAGTGGTTTTGACCTGAGGGCTTTTCAATAGCTGCTACAAAATAAATCTTTGTGGAGAAGACCAACATCAGTAAACCTCCAGGAAACAGCTATATGCTGCTCTCAGAGGGCTGACCAGCAGAGTACACTTTACAGGTATAGCTGTAGAAGGATTTGAACAGATTGGAAGGGTGATTAGCAACAGGAGAGACCACCAGTTGACTCGTAATCATTGAAGTGCTAACAGTCTCTTGATACCAGGAACCATTGGTTAAAACAATATGGCATTGTGGTTTAAAAAACAGGCTTTGAAGTTAGACAGAATAGGGAATAAATTCTGGTTTCACCTCTTACCAGCTGGAAGGCCTTGAAAATGCCCTGTAACCTTCCTATGCTTCAGTATCTTGAGCTGTGATGTATGGTAATATTGACTTCATAGGATTCTCAGCAAATTAAACATATTCTGATTTCAGAATTAAATTAGCAAATGTGTATAACCTGCTTTGCACACCTGTTGTATACTAAATTCTCAATAAATACCGGCAACTATGTTCTATCCATTTGTTAATTCAAAAAACTTCAGATATTGCGTATGTGGCATAGTGAGGTAGGGGTAAGGAAGAGCTCTTATTCTTTTGAGTTTCAAGAGTAGTAGTGTGTTGCTACATCTAAATCCCATATGGCAATATTGACTTAGTATATCAAAAAGAAGTAGTCCATAAACAGCAAAAATTATTAATATCAGAAACAAATTAAATTCCTGCTTTTGTCTTGGGATGACATGCGTAATGAAAAATAAGGAACAGAGTTTTACCAGCTATATGCCTTTCAAATGAAAACATGTTTATTTGTAGTTAACTTTGCAATTATGAAAGAAGGTACAATCATTTAAAAAATCATGAGGCCTTGTTTGTGTAAGTTCCAAGACTCCATTGACACTACCAATTGGAAAATGGGGCATTAGCAAGACTCTACAAACCTTCAATATATGTCTAATGTTACATTTATCTTTACGTTTTCCTTGCAAATTCAACACTCCATTGACTTCATGTGTTTCTATTAGTCTTCAATCAGGATAAGCTAGTGGGAGAAAGTGGCAGTTCTATATTCACCTCTACTTAGATTTTAGTGTAGGCATTTTATTTGACCTGATATTGAGGCATATGAAAAATATAAGTAGGTAATTGTAACACAATGGTAAGGATTTGTGTATCTAAACACATCAAACATAGAAAAGGTACAGTAAAAATACAGTATCCAAAACAAAACATGATACACCTATATAGGGCACTTATGGAGCTTACAGGACTGAAATTTGCTCTAGGTGAGTCAGTGAGTGAGTGGTGAGTAAATGTGAAGGCCTAGGACATGACTGTACACTACTGTAGACTTTATAAATACTGAACACTTAAGTGACACTAAATTTGTAACAACAATGTTTTCTTTCTTCAGTAAAAACTTAACTTTAGCTTACTATATTTTACCTTATAAACTTTCAAATTTCTTCGTAACTTTTTGACACTTTGTGATAACACTTAGCTGAAAACACAAATAGATTGTACAACTGTAAAAAAATATATTCTTTGTTTGAATCCTTGTTCTGTAAGCCCTTTCTATTTTAGGATTTGTTTACATATATATTTTAGTTTTTTATTACAAATTAACACACAAACATACACAATAGCCTCGGCCTACACAGGATCGTCAATATTCACTGTCTTTCTCCTCCATATCTTGTCCCACTGCAAAATATTCAGGGCCAATAGCAGCATGAAGCTGCCATCTACTATGATAACAATGCTTTCTTCTGGAATAGCTCCTGGAGGACATGCCTGAGGCTGTTTTACAGGTTTTGTTTTTTTTAATAAGTAGAAGGAGTACACCATAACATAATGTTAAAAATTATAGTATGGTAAATACAGAAACCACTAACAGCCATTTATTATCACGTATTATGTACTGTAAATAGTTGCATGTTCTGTACATTAATATAACTGGCAGTGTAGTAACATTGTTTACACCAGCATCATCATAAACATGTGAGTAATTCATTGTGCTACAATGTCACCACAGCCAGGACTTCACTAGGCATTTAAGCTCCATTTTATATCTGGTCCATCATTGACTGAAATGTTGTTATGCAGCACATGACTATATTTCAAAGCCCATTAAGAATTAGAACCCAGGTCTGTCTGTATCAGTTAGGGTCCACTTAGCAGATAGAAACTGCATAGTAATTTAAGCAGGAAAAGTCTAATATAGTAGTTATTAACTACGACAGAGATTGGAGTAAATGTGATTTTCTACTAAGGGGTAAAAGAACTCTAATTGACAAGAGGAGATATAGGGACCACTTGGTCTGAGGCAGAGCACCTGAAGAAAGACAAATTTTTACAAAGGCCACCCATGGGGAGTCAGTGAATGGGGGACTACACTGAGCTGGCATTCTAGTGACACTCATGGAGAAGCCATTCTGGAGATCTGTGGCAAACTGTCTGTAAGGTGATGTCACATTGTGGAACTCAATGGGAAGCCATTCATAGGAAGGTGCTGCGCTGGTGGAACTCTCTAGGAAGTGCCCAGTGGTGGGAGGAGCGGAGTGCCCTCTGAGATGCCAGAGAAGTTGCAGGAGCCTGCTAAGAGACCCACCAGATCCAGAAAGAACCCATTCATTGTCCAGTTCTCTCCATTGCCCAATTTGTTTTATACTTAAAATCATACCGTATTGCAAGGAAGAAGCGTTCTAACCTCACAAGCAGGACAGTGAAGGATGGATTTGGATTTGTGAGGCAATAGATGGATACCTAGCACACTGTTCGCCATCAAATCATGTCATATGGCCTTATATTCACTTTATCAGAAAATATGACATGTAACAAAATAAAGAAGACTAAGAGGAAAGGAAGGAAATATATGTAATCAGGTTATAAGTGGAGATTTACATTAGTGTCTCTCTTTTCTTTAAAATGTTTCTAGGCAGAGTCACTTTAAGTCCTCAGGAGACTGCTTTGTTGAATTTTAGGACCCTGGCTTATCAACCAAAAACCAGAATTACAAACTAGAGGTCCAATGGGCATACCAGAGATTTTTCACTATATAATTTAAATTATTGTTTAATTCCAGTTTTCTCAGCTACTAGTTAATACAGGCCATGTTCAGTTGACAGATTCATTTGCAAATAAGAGCTTCCTTAGGTATCTGAAGCCTACTTGCATCATTTATAGACTGTAAAATTTAGGCAAGTTATTTAACTTCTCTGGGTCTCAATTTCTACATGTAAAAGGAAATAATAATAGGACTTACCTTATAGGTATGTTATGAAAATTAAATATGTTAATATTTTAAAGCACTAGGAATAATTCTTTGCACATAATATGTGCTATACAAATGTTTGCCAGATAAAAATAATTCAGTCACAGCAATATGCATTTTATATTTTCTTAAAAACCTTCACCTAGGAATATTAATTCCTTTAGTAGTGCCAATATATGGAACTCTATATTTACTCAACATTTTTGTCAGATTAATCTGATTCCATTGTTTAACAGAAGTTAAAAGTAAGAATCTATGGTTATACTATAGAATGTATAATGTGAATGCTGTTCATTGGATATCTTAATTTTTTTCACAGCTTTAACAATACTGCTTCAAGCTGATAGTGGTTTAAGATGATATTAGTAAAGCCCTTACTCTTTAGCTTTTGGAATTAACTGAAAAAGAAGATTTTTGGTAAAGTAACTTTGACTAAAAAAAAACATGTTTTCAGTGTGACCTGTTGTACCCAAATTGTTAAATAGTTTTTAATTTGCATCCCTTAAAAGAAGCAAGTATGACACTCTGTAAAATGTCGCAAATTTTATATATTTTCTCTTTTCTTTATAGATGGCAAAGAAAAATATTCTGAACTAATCAAAAAGTCCAAAGCAATTGAAATGTTATTTACACTCTATCCTCCTGAAGGTGCACATGTGCCTAACAGTACACTACTCAAGTCAACTTGGTTGAGACCCATAGTAAATGGGGAAGAAGGTTATAAATATATAGGTAAGATATTGAGCCTTATTTTTTATTATAAATAAGTGATACCTTATAATATTATATATAACTATATTCATCACATAGATGATGTGGGATGATACATAGATCCTATAGAATGTTCTCTTTACTTCTTAGATACTATGCCCGCAATTTAAAAAGGGACTGTTTTGTGCTTTGGTACCTCCACTAGAATAGTGAAACTATATTGTGCCTGTCTACTCACTAGTTGATGGAAATTTGGGTTCTTTTCACTTTTGCATTACTACAAGTAAAGTTGCTATGAACATTCATGTTCAGGACTGTGTTTAGACATGTGCTTGCATTTCTCTTGGCCAACTTGTTTTCCAGTCATTATAACATTTCATATTACCCACCCACAGCAGAGATATAAAAGTTGCATTTATTCCACAGCTGTATCAACACTTGGTACAATCAGCCTTTCTAATTTTAGCCAATCTAATAAATGTATGTTGGTAGCTCTTTGTGGTTTAAATTTGCATTTCTCTAGTAAACAATGTTATTTGGCATCTTTTCATGTATTTATTATTTGTATATCTTTGTTGAAGTGTCTATTCAAAACTTTTGATCATTTTCATATTATTATTTATTAAGTTTTGAGAATCCTTTACATATTCTGAATACAAATAAGTTAACCTTTATATGCTTTGTGAATATTTTCTTCCAGTCTGTGGTTTGTCTTTTCTGTCTTTTAATAGTATCTCTGGAAGAGCAGAAGTTTTCACTTTTGATAAAGTACAATTTACTACTGTGTTTCTTTATTGCATGCTTTTGCTGCCATATCCAAGAAGTGTTGGCCTGGATTGTAGCAACAAGGTTTTCTTCTATAAATTTTATAGTTTTAGGTTTATATTTCAGTGTGTGGTTGATTTGGGGTTAATTTTTGTATGTGGTTCAAGATATAAATTGAAATTCTTTTTTTAATACTTTGATATCACAAACTTTCCAACAATATTTGTTGAAAAGACTATTTTTCTATAAATTAACTTTGCAATTTTGCAAAACCAAATAGTGAAAAAAGATATATAGATAGCAAATGAGCACATGAAAAGATGATCAACATCATTAGTCATCAGGGAAATGCAAATTTAAACTACAGTGAAATACTACTACTCACTTATTAGAAAGGCTAAAATAATTTTTTTAATCTAATGATACCAAACAAGGAGATGGAACACCTCAAACACTCACACATTACTGGTGGAAATGTAAAATAATACAGCCATTTTGAAAATATTTTGATACTTTCTCACAAATGAAATATATTCTAATCATAAAGTCTAGCCATTCTATTCCTA